TTTTTTTAGTAGTAGTACTTTGATAGCACTAGAGCATTTTCCTTTCTTTCCCTTTATCTACTTTTCTACTTTGCTCATATTCTGAAAAGTGAAATTGGCAAGTGTATAAAGTATATTTACAACAAGCGAAAAAGCAAATGACCCTTTTCTAACTTCTGTGAAAACATTCTGTCATTGTAATACCTAGAAGGGAACCAGCATCAAGCTGTCAAAAATTAGAGCTGTTCAACTGAAATGCTTATAATTTTGCATCCGTAGAAAATAGATGTCCTCTTCTCATCTCTACTTTTATAGACAACTTTTCTGTGACACACATTAGCCAGGGATTACTTCTACTTTAGGAGCACATAGATAGATAGTCCTGCCATAAATTTAAATTGGGACCTCTGAAGTTTACTAAAGAAAAATTTGATGTCTTTCCAAATTAAATGTTGACAAAGTATATATTTACATTTTCCTTCCACAATTGTATTTCAAGTATTATTTCCTATTTTAACTTGATTTAGCAAGTTGTGGTAGTTATAGGGTACGAAGTCTATAGAAACATCTGGTTTTTATTACATGCAAAGTACCACTACAATGAAAATATTTTCCTTCCAATGTTATGTAGCAAAGAAAATACAATTTTACATACTATATCATATATTTTGAATCTTTTCTTTTTCCCTACATCCCAGTGGAATTTTAGTAACACATGTCATTCCCATCTATAAAGTTTATTTCACTTGATCTGCTCCTAGACTTCAGAAATGTTTTGGTGTGTATTGAGAACCCACAATAATCTGTGTTGTACAGAATGTGCAGAAATCCATGCCTTCCCAAGTATTACTGTGCTAACGAAAATACCAAATTATTGTTCTCTATTCTCTACAGCATAGGAATGTTTTACATCTTAGGGGGGGAAAAACCTAATCTGCCTTTTTAAACTGTAGAAATTGTGACAAAACCTGAGCATAGGGGATGAATGATATTGGAAGGGATGTGATACAGCCTGTCTTTGGATACTAGCAACCACTAACAGATGGCAAGGTGCATGCAAGGATTGAGCAAGGAACTCCTACTATTTTTTTTCCACTGCAAGCCTAAATTTCATAGTACTTCTAAAAGAGAAGCTAAAGACTACTATTTATTTGGCAACTTGTGGCAACTTAAATGGGCGATAAAGTTCCAATCTGTGATGTTGCAAGAGTAGTGTGATCCCCTTGTGATTCTAGAATAAAAGTTACTGGGACCTCTTAAATGAACAAAATGAATTGGTGACCACCCCACCCCCAACTTCAATTTCTCTTTTCCTTTTAAAAAGATCATAAAATGCCCTGTAGTAGGAATTTATGCCAAAGTTTCCAGACTACTCATTTGGTGTGATAGTGATTGGTCACATCTCGTGAAGTAGGATTGTTTTTTTGAACTGTGTCTTTTGCAGAAAGGTTGGAATCTTGTTTTAAGATATCCAGGGTTTTTTAAGATCCCTAACCTAACAAAAAGGGAGACTTGGAAATTATCCACTTTTATTTGGTTAGTATAAACAACCCAAGTGAGTCAAGTCTCAAAAGTGGATGGTTTTTGAAGGAGAATTATTTAAGTTGAGAATCGATAGTCTAGGAGAGGCAGTGTGGTCCAAAGGATAATGTGCAAGGCTTGGTTTCAAATCCCTTCTCTGACACATACAAGCTGTGTGACTTTGGGAAAAAAGCACTTAATTCCAGGCATCTTCCTAGGATTTATCTACCAAGTCAGTTGACAGGTTGAGCTAGGTGGGGAAAGTTGTCACACCTGGAGTATTACAGATCCTTCACATCTAGTATTTATAATATGAAAAAACTGAATAATTACAAACAATTTTTCTTGGTTTTCATTGTCTAGAAAGGGGAAAAATAACAAAGCAGGAATATGATTTAAGGGGAAGGGAAAGAATTAGAATTTATATATTGCCTACTATATGCTAGGCATTCAGCTAAGGTCTTTACAAATATTAGCTCATTTGCACCTACCCTGCAAGGTAGGTGCTCTTGTTGTCCCTATTTTACAGTTGAGGAAGTTGAGGCAAACAGAGATTAAATGACTTGTCCAGGATCATACAGTTTTCTCTCTCTCTCTCTCTCTCTCTCTCTCTCTCTGTCTCTCTATTTCTCTCTCTCTCCTCTCTCCTTTTCTCTCTCCTCTCTCAACATTACTTCATTTACTTTCCCAGAAGACTATGTATGGAGAACCTGATGCATGCTTCACTGAAAAAGAAGCCCATGAAGGTGGCTGCTGAATGATCTCTTGATTCTTGGACAAAACTGAGGGAAAAGTCTAACAAATGCATCATTTTGCAGTAAATTAGATCAGATTTCCACATCTCTGCACTCAGCCTGTGAGCTGACAGTTCAGTAAAATGTTCCCTTGTAAGGTTCACCCTCTTAGGAAAAGGGGCAATAATTTATCATTAGGATTTCAGACTCCAGGTGTAGATGAGAAGTGATGGAGCCTCCAGCAAGGCAGGGAGAGTGTGCCGAAGAAGAAAATTTTATCTGAAGCCTAATTCCCTAGTTACAGCAGAGAATAATTAAGATAATATTGCTTCAAGAGGCCTTTAATGATTAAAAATCACATATGCAGAATCCATAAATTGGAGGGCAACAAATTGGAAGGCTAAGAACGTCAGAGATCTGTTTAGTGCACAATGTACTAGAAAGTACACTCGTGGCAGAACAGCACAGGCAGTCACCAGAGACTAGGCCCATTCCAAGGACTTTGTTTAGATGCAACAAATCATTTGTCTGTTATTAACCCAGAGCTTGTAATTATGCAGATTGCCATAGATTTTCCTGGGCCTGGAAGTGAGATTGAGGGTTGTTCACACTATAGCAGGCAGCTCAGGGCTGGCCATGCATTACTGAACTTGCCACATTTATCATGTTGACTGATGGCAGCAGAAGCAGGTCTCAGGTCCCAGTGGTTAATGTAGTGGGTAATTAACTGTCATTTGCCTAGTAATAGGCTGATGATCAATGGTTTGTGTGGAAACAAATTCTAATCAGGTAGCTGATAAATGCTCAGCTAGCAAGAGCAATTGAAATTGGGGGAAACTATGTCCAGAATTTCAAAATGGCATTGTGTGCATTAGTGGAAAACTAAATAAAAATTACATTATCCAATATTAACCATAGTTGATATTCATATATGTACATAGAGTGGTATGAAGAACTTTAAAGGTTTTCTTATCTTGTACTCACTTTTTAAGACAAATGAAGTTCTTAAGGATGCTACTCCTGAATAGACCATTAGGTAGCAAAAGAGCAAAGAGTCATATTGCATTGTGGTAAATTTAAAATTCTGCTTATAGAAGTATGAAAGTCCTAATTTTTCTTGAGAATTAAAGAGATACTTGTTGAAATTCTAGTTGAAAACAAGTAAAGTTTCATTTAAAAAGAAGTTTTACAAAGGCCAAATTCTTTCATGACATGAAGATTATAAAGCACTAGCAATGTAGTGGTTGCTAATGATGTATTCCTTGAAGTAAACGGGAAGAAGAACCATGTTTGGGGGAAAATATTTAAAACAAAAAATCAAGACAGTTATACCGAGCAACATAATAATTGCTTAGAATTTATTAAACACTCTTACCCTCTTAGGAACTAATTAAAATGTATTTGAACTTCTTACCTTCAAGGTGTTTATGTTGAAAAAACAAGTTGGGTACATTTATTTATGTACATGTTTAATAGACACTTTACCAAACATCAGATTTGCAGCATCCAGTCTTACCATCCTTTCAAACAAATGTAATCAGTATGAAAGCAGATGTACTACTGAATTTAAATGTATGTATGTATACTTTTAAGGAAAGGCTATGTCTTTATACATGAAGGGCACTTAGACTTAGAAGCACAACTGTGTAATCTTTAAATTCAATAAAATGAAAGGATGAGATTTCTTTAAATTGCATTTTTGTTACCAAACTGAATTCCCTCTGTTGTACCTTTGAATGCATTAGTTTAGAACTGCTTTTAATTTCTTCCTTCCCCTGAGAGCCATTATATTTTTCTCTTCTCAGCCTGATATTGGAGAAAAAAGAAACTGGCAGATGTGGTGTGTTCATCTAGCTTGCTTCCTAGGAAAAAAAAAAATAGCATTAACTACAATACACAGACTGTTATTCTGTGCATTTTTACAATTATTAAGTACTTTAAATAAACTTGGCTTCAAATATTGCCAAAAACAAGTAGAGTAAATCATTGTTCTTTGTTTCCTTCTGTTATGAGACTAGATGGGCATTTACTTATGTACTGTTTTTCAGGCTATTATGGAATCTATTTGCAGAAATCTAGAGCAAATAGGTCCTTTTCTTTTTTAAAGCGTGTGTGTTTTTGTACCAGACATTTCAAATGATTCTTACAGTATATTATGCTTCAATTCCTGGTCTAGCTACATATAGTTTACAGCCTCATTTACTTTAATGTGCTACCTGAATAACATAATCATAGCTGTAACTATGGTATAGGGCTGTAAGGTGCATGAACCACTAATGCTTTCTATTTAGATGACTTGTTCATAAAGTGTTCTTTTAATAATAATGCTATAGCTATTATTAACTAGATGTCAAAAATCCAAAAATGCTGTGTCTTTTAAGGATGACTTTTTTCTCTTCCACCTAAAATGTTTTACATTTGGCATTAACACCAAAGTTACATGGATCTTAAATTCATGGTGCAATCCAAGAACAAGATTCTTGCCATGTATTCAAATTGGTTAACTTCTGTTTGCAAGTGGTTATGTAACCTTGCTTTGCTGACTCCTTTTCTTGAACAAGAGGACTTTTTTTTTTTAAAGAAATGATCATATATAGGACAAAAAGTTTATATCTAATATATAAAAATCACTTGCCTATATACATGAGATATAGTAGTACTCAGTTTTGATTCCTTTTGTAAGGTCTATAGAATTATTTCATCTATAATTTCAAATTCCCTTACAATCATTTGTTTTTGTAAAAAAAAATACATATATTCTTTTAGGTTATTTGGTGTAACAGGAAATTGTGCTGCTTGCAGTAAGCTCATTCCTGCTTTTGAGATGGTGATGAGAGCCAAGGACAATGTTTACCACCTGGACTGCTTTGCATGTCAGCTTTGTAATCAAAGGTAAGAAAATTTTATTTGGGCTCCCAAAAGCAGTAGAATAGTTTTGTTGTTGTTGTTGTTTTTAAGACCAGAAAATTTTTTACTGCTCTGAACTTAAAGGAAATATCTGAGTGTGTCTGTGTGCAATCAGCATTCATTTAGTCTCAGGAATATCCAATTGAAATACAAGAAAAATTATTATATAATTTCCCCCTGTATTAAATACATTATTTGCAAGAAGTACATATATTTGCAAGAAGTTAATAAATCATTGTTTTCATCCCAGTCCTTTTGTTATTCCTTTCCTTTAAAAAAAAAAAGTCATTAGTACCTCAATTGCTTAAAGAGTAATGTGCCTTAGTTTCCTCATCTGTAAAATGGGAATAATAATAGAGCATACTTCTTTGGGTTGTCATGAGGATAAAATGAGATAATATTTGTTAGGTGCTTTTCAAATCTTAAAGCATTTTGTAAATGCTAGCTATCATTATTATCTTACTGGTGTGCTACTTCTTCAGTGTTAAGAGTGACCCTTCCCAGCCCTTTGACATTGTGTGATTTTTGTCTGCCTCTTTACAGAAATTATTCATAGTGAATTCCAACCAACTTCCTCAAGGCTTTGCTCTAGTTCTAAAATAAATTGCCAACAAAAGTTTTAGGGAAAGCAAACATTCTTATATACTTTCAGTAATTTAGTGTTTAAGTAAATAATGTTGGAAACATAAGTTTCCTTTTACTGTAAAATACGGAAATAGTACCTAAAGTAGCTTACATTCTAAAGAAGACCATATGAGTGTGTGTGTGTGTGTGTGTATATGTAAATGTGTGCCTGTGTGCGCATACCTGCATTCATGTGCAAGGGTATAGGGGAATCTTGAGGGGGAATAGAGACCAAGAAGAGTCTCATGAAGAATTTAAATGTCAAGAACAAACTGTTTCCTATAGATGATTATCTAATATGAAACTGCCTATTCTAGCAAGGAGTCTTAAAGTATAGTATAATGTTTCATATAATCCAGTTTAAAAAAAGCTGTATTTTCATACTTTATATGCTACAAGTTATTTTGGTAAAGAACATTTATTCAACTTAAAGGACACATATCATCTTTAGGTTCTTCCTCCAAAATTTCATACACACACACACACACACACACACACACACACACATACATATACACATATATATATACACATATATATGAAGAATTTCAGCAAGTAGTCACATATGCCATTAAAATACACATTAAAGCAAGACATCTTTTTCCTAAGGGATAATTGGAAGGGCTTATCTTCCTAGTCTGAAGAGTAGGTTTTTTAGCACTAGATCCTTATAGATTTATAACTACAGATTATAACCTAAACATTTTTGGCTGAGACCCAGAAAAAATTATCAAATATAATTCATTTCCAAAAGGCATGTTATTCATAGACTTATAATAATTGCATTGATTTATTACTTTGGTCTACTAATCTAAGGGTTCAGCATCCCTATTCTTAACATATTTTGTACATAAAATTAAATCAGCATACAAATATTAAACCCTACTTAAACTGCATTATGATACAAAATAATTGCACATTGTTAATGCTATTTACAAATCATGCATCAATTTTATTCCACCATAGAAATAAAAAATGCATTCACAATTAAGTCTCTCTCTCTAGTAGAACTCAGTCAAGTAAGACAAACACTCCTAAATTCTGACTCTAAAACTGTTCATATTCTTATTGCTGTAAAACACTACTCTAGTATCATTATGAAAGTACCTAATATATTTCTGTTGTCGCTTCATTTATTACATGCCATAAGGGGGCTGCATATCTTTAGTGTTGGTTATGCACAATTAGCACTTAGTTATTATCTTGTCACTTTAGTCCATACAAGACAAACTTCTTTAATGCAAGAAGTCAGCTAATCTTCATCAGTCAAGCAAAGCAGACAATTTTTGTTACCCTGAATACAAAAGGTTTTCCATGTAGGTGATGCTTTTTCCTAGAAGTTAGCTTGGAAAACCAATGTCTCCAATAAAACCATGATAATGCATGGTGTTCTACTTTGGGCAGCCAAATAATTGTAATCATTTGCGTCTTTTCAAGTGAAACACAAGGCAAATTTGTAGTGATAGATAACTTTCCCTATGAGAAATTTTTTTGTTGTTTCTGAAATGAGATATCATGTATGTTAGGTAAAGTTATTTATCAGGTTTTGAGTTCAAATATTTAATTTTAAATATAATTAAAATGAAAATCTCCAACCATTAAAATCAAGTCATGCCTTTTAAGGCCTAATTGGCCCATTCACAAAATTCTAACTTTCAAAAACCTCTATTTGAGAAACTATTACTTCTAGATATAGAAATATGTTCTAAATTGCCAAAGAAAGGTGAATTAAAATCTTATCTGTGTGTTGATTCTTCAGGATGGAATATGTATGTAGGTACAACTTTTTATACTCAAATATTTCTCTCCCTTAATGATAATATGTAGCATTTCCTAATTTTAAATGAGTCAAAATATAATACAATGATTTAAGTTAGTCTTCCTCTAATATCTGTTAATAATTTGGGTCTTTTGAACATTTATTAGGATTTGAGAAAAATCCAATATAATAGTATCTTTTAATACCGACCTCACATGTCAGGAAAAATAGAGAATAAAAAAGAAACAGCCCATAAGGGATTGACAGTTTACTTGGGAAAAGGAGACATCACACAGAAAAAGTATACAAGACAGTATAGTCAGGAAGCAAAATAAGTGGCAGAATCAGTGCTATTAGAGATTATTGTGTACTCAGGTACATACTGATCATTGGAGTAGTCAGAAGACTTAATGGAGGAGATAAAACTCTAGGTCTTAGAAGATGGAATGCTCCTTAAGAGTAGGGATGACTTACTTATCCTTCACAATACCATAAACATAATGGGGCTTGATAAATGTTGAAAATTTAGATAGGAAAGATGATGAAGGTTATTCCAGGCAAGTAGAAAAGAATGAAGGAAACATGGTATAAACAGGACGGTGGGAGGAGTTTGTGTTAGGGACTCAAGGAAATAAAGCTGGACAGTACCAGATTACAATGTGCTTTGAATGACAGGTTAAGCATTTTCACTATGATTTGAATGGCATTGTGCTTCTACTGTAGACCTCAAAGTCATGCCAGATAAACTCGATACAACGTAGTGAGAACTTAGAGAGCACTTATTATGTACCAGGCACTGTGCTAAGTATTGGGAATATAAAGACAAAAATTTTTCTCCCTACGTGGCCCTTACATTCTCTTCAAACATTAATCTTCTTAGAAAATGACTTTCAATAATATCCGGAATAGTTTAGGAGGTATCTGGAGGTCATGAGGCCAGATAGTAAGCTATATAGTAATCCATGTAAAATGAGATAGTCTTTATGAAGCACCTGGCACATGGTAGATGCTTAATAAATGCTTCACTTCCCCCTTCTTCAACTGCCTTTGGTGATGAGGGCCAGGACTAGGTAAGTGATGGTATGAAAATGCCAATAAATATTTTGCAAATATGTTAACCATTTGTGCCTGACCTGTGGTAGAGCCTTCCAAGCGCCTATTGGTCTGATCAGCTGTGTACCTTGTCCCCAACATAGTGATGTTGTTCTGGTCCTCTTTGAGCATGAAGCACAACAACCAACTTTGCAACTATAAAAATGTTAGAGATCTCTGAAATCAGCTTGGCAAATAAAGTATGTTCAAAGCTCTGCTAAGCATAGCTGGAAGAAAGATTAAATAAAATCTAGTCTCTTCCCTTCAGTTAATAATCAAGTGAAACAAGTGATCACAATCTGAAAATGATGTGGGGTGGCATTAAAATCCTTTCCAGTTGTCTGTTACCCGAGTGTCTCCCTGAAATACAGAGAAGAGAATTGGGTCCTACCTGTTTTTAAAAGTGAAGGGTGGGACAGTTAAATTGCAATTTTCTGATTTAATTTGCCCTTACCCTATTAGGAAGTTAAGAGCTGTAGCCTATTAATGATCCTTTGAGAGGATGGTAATAACAGAAGTAAGTCCCTTTTTTAATTTTTTTCTACAGCTTTCTTTTCGCCCTTACCAAACATCATCATGCATTTAATGCAGAAGTGTTTATTATGTATACATTTTTAACCCATTCAGAAAGTTCTCAATACTTTTATATGAATTCAGCTAAAAACTAAGCTACCAAAACAACAAAAACCTTAGCTATAAATCTTGTATACTTTTGTATTATTGGCATTGTAGGAAAAAAAAGAGGTAAAATTATATTTTAGTCTATAAGTATTTTGGGTATGAAAATGGTAAATTTTTTATCTATTCCAAAGTTGTCAGGATAGGGATCTTTTCAATGGTTTGAATTTTCAATAAAATTAATATAAAATTATTTTACATAGAACTATATTCTACTACTCTATTTCCTAATTTATTCTAATATCGTATATTTTCAAATGTGAGAGCAATAACATTGATGTAGTAAAACACTAGCTTCATAATTTTAACATTTATACGTAAATTCCAATATTTAAGCCAATCCTAGAAATTTTAAAATTACTTTGTAAGTGCATGTTTTCCCCTTTTTCATCTTTGTAGGCTTTCAGAGAGTATAAATATTATATATAAATATGCAATGTTTTGGCCCCTTTTAGGGCCCAGAGACAAGGTTCTGATTCTTAACAGCTGTGTGACCCTGGGCAAGTCACTTAATCTGTGTTAGACACTAGAGAACTTCAAATGTCCCTTTCCTCTCTAAATATGTGGTCCTAGGATATCTATAACAAATATTGCAAAGCATGAGACAAAATGGTGAAGTTAGGAACATTGGACTTGGAATCGAAAGATACAGGATGAGTCTCAGTTCATTTATTTTGAGCTTCAGTACCTACTTGTAAAGGAAGAGCCTGGTAAATCATAATGCTATGTGTGAGGAATTGTTTACTGCTATGAAGACTTTAGTATGATGATAAACATTAATATATAATTGGAGAATAACACTTTCATAGTCCGTATAGGGGGAAAAAAGTATTTTTCAAAGATAAAAATAACAGTCTGACTTGAGCTATGGTTTTGATAGCTGACATGTTTTCATTTATCTTAATATAAATTTGGTTATACTAATGTGAATTTTGTAACACTTCAGGGTTAGTTAGAGGAGATGAAAAGAGTATCTTTCTAGGATATTCTTTTTAATCTGGAAACAAACTCATAAAGCATAAAGAAGAGTTTTAATAGCTTTAGTTTTGACCTAAGTATTGATTTTATTAAGTAATTAATATTCACTTCAGCAAAACATATCGTTGGTCTTAAATTATAGTTTGTACATAGTGTGCATTCTATTTTGTTCCATCTCTGGGAAATTTTTGTTTTGGATGGAAATGTAAAAGATATGTCTCCCAGCCAAACATTTTTTTTTTCTGTTTTTGAGTTTGGTTTTAATTACCAGTATAATCTAAGACCAAGAGACGTTTATTAGAGTAACACTTCTTACATCATTTGAAATTATCATATAATTTACAACTAGTAAAGGTAAGAAAAAAGCTCAAAAGCAAACTGTTTAAAGTTCATTATACTAGCCTTGACCTCGAATAATGCCAGGATTTCAAGATCATTGCATAAGCTCTCCTTTCAATCAACAGCATCAGCAGGCAGTAATCCTAGAGGAGGGGGAAAAATATACTCCATAAATAAACAGACCAATTTTCCTTTAAGAGGAAAAACTAATTCTTTTCATTCCACTTTTTTATTGTGCAATTCCCCCCTATCTACTTTAGTGTAAGGATAAATTTCCAAAACTACCCAGTTGGAAAATAAATGGGTTCATTGTTTGTCCAGCATTCCAATCTTTGCAAATGTAAATCAGTCCAACTGCTACTCATTGAAGCCTCCAACTTCACAAAACATTAAAGGGTAGCTTTCAATACACAATTTAATCTGACAATCCACTTAGATTTCTACTTGAACATCATTAGAAATTGACTGTCTGATAAAGAGAGGCCACTATCAAAGGTCAGTCAGGTCAACTTGTATAATTATATGTCTGTTATACTGGGTCAACTCTAGCAGACACTACTGTTTGAAGGTTAAATTGTTACAATTAAATACATATATAAACCTTCCTTCCACCCCCCACATAGCTACTGAGATGGGGTTAAATCAGCTCTAAACACTGTAAGCATTTATTTCTGATCCCAATGGTGAATAAAGTCTCATCATTTAGAAATTCTGCCACTACCCCCCAACAAAAAGCCTCTATTAAGAATATTATTGTCTAAATAGATTAAACATTGCTTCATGAAGTAAATTGCTTAGTTAGCTAATAAAAATGGTTTGCTTTCTTCGCACCAATGTTCCCTGTGTTAAACTCTTTGTTTTACTCTGTTTTAAGTTGAAATACTGTAAGAAATGCCACTGTAAATTTTTCATTGTTGGTGAACTTGCCACAAACAAGGAATATTACCCTACAGCATAATCTGTTAAAGGAACTTTCATACTACAAACCTACTTTTTTTCACTTATAAATCATTAAAATTTAAATCTTTTAACAAATAGAAAGTGTTAAAAGAGGCTTAATTTCTAATTGGCCTAGTTATTTTGATGTTTTTTTTTCCTTTTTACAATGTGGATAAATGGACAAAACAATATAAATGCTTTTATATTCTTTCTAGGAAAGCAATAAAGTTCTACTTGTTTTTCAAGTAAATAGTTTTTATATATGCTCACCCTAAATAAACCTGTTGTACAAATATGGGCCTGCTGTGCAGACAGCTTATCTCTAGGTAAGATTTCTCTTAAGATTTAAGATTAAAATTAGAAATAAACATGTAATGTTTCAGTAAAGTGCTAAATGGCTATTTAGTTTAGTCCCCTTTATTATGATAAAGCATTGTCTAAGCCAAATATCAGATTTATAGAATTATGTCATTGATGTAGAACCATATTTTTAAACTGTGACTCTACAATGAAATGGCCTTAAATCTGTCAAAATGATTTTTTAAATATATTTTCAGATTTTGTGTCGGAGACAAATTTTTCTTAAAGAATAACATGATCCTTTGCCAGACGGACTATGAGGAGGGTTTGATGAAAGAAGGTTATGCACCCCAGGTTCGCTGATCTATCAACGTCACCCCACTAAGAATACAAAGCACTACATTCTTTTATCTTTTTTGCTCAAAATGTATATAAGAATTGACACAGGAACTTATTGGATAGCGTAGATATAGAAAACCAGGATGACTGCGTGGAATAAAAGGAGGACTGCAACTGTATGTAGTGAAATTGCTCCCATTCAGAGTTGAATGTTTATTATTAAAAAACAAAAGGTAATGTACATATCGTCAGATTCTCTTGCTTGCTCTTTGTTTTGTGTCATTTGGCATGAGATGTTTATTTTGGACTATTGTATATAATGTATTGTAATATTTGAAGCACAAATGTAATACAGTTTTATTGTGTTACCATTTGTGTTTTGTTTTGCTTCTTTGTATTGTTGCATTTAGTACAATCAGTGTTTAAACTTATTGTATATTTATGCTTTCTGTATCTACCAGCTATTTTAAATGAGCTGTAACTTTCTATTAAAAAAAAATTAAAGGGTGTAAATCCCAGTAAATGCTACGCACATAGATAAAGCAAGTCTATCTATGTTAAATATTTAAGAAAACAAAAGTATTCTAGCAGCATCCACTACTACTGCCACTATGATGAAGGGTCTTGTCAGTGTTTTCATTATAAGACCCCTATTTTCAGGGGCTTAAAGATCTGGTTTTAAAAAAAATGCATTAAAGTTTCATCTAAGAATAAGTTTATTTTTTGTCAACTTGGAAAAAGTGGCATTTTTAGAATATATCTTTAAATCATGAAAATACTTATTAATGATTTCAGATTCTTGTGCTCAACCTTCTTAATATGTGTCATGATTTTTGCCAGCCTTTAGTCCCCTTTACAAACTAGTGCCTTTGGTTGTCATGTATTTTTTCCCAAAGGGTTAATTTAGAAAAAATGTTACTACCCCAGTGTAGTAACTTAGAAAACTATCAAAGTTCTTGTAAAAACTTTAAGCAACATGTAACCCTTGATTTTTCCACACAATCTGAGGTCTTTTAGAAAAAAATATTTAGAATTGCACATAAATTTGCTGAAGTCTTATTTCTATACAGTGAAGCCATGGCATCCTCTCAGCAATGTTACTTGTGTCTCAGAACTGGATAATGTCTATCAAGACCAATTGAAAGAAGAGAAACAAAGATTGGATAAAACACCATAAAACTGGTTATATTTTATTCTGCATTCTACCATCCTTTTAACATTGCAAACTGATCACTTTTAAACTTGTTTCTCACACTGCCAACTGTTTTTATTTAAATTTAAAGCAACTATTCACTCAAAATTCATCACAGAGACATTGGAAATCTGTCATTACTTTTTTTTTAGGAGTGAAATATTATTTCTAGGCTTACCTCATAGTTTGCAAGTGAGCAGATTTATAGAAGACAGAACAATTATAGAAGATGTGAAGACATGATCTCCTCTTGGGTGGGATTCATTCAATTCAGTCACTAAAGCTGTTCTCACACAGGCACAATGAAGCATATAATTTGCAAAAGCAAATGTGGTGCTATTAACATTTTGTTTTTGTTTTGCTGTGCCTATAGAGTGAACTTAGGTTTTCCAGTGGTTTTGCAAAGTTGTTTTGTCCTACAAATATACAAAGAATGGAAGTTAAGGGTAATGAATGCATCTTATATCTGTTTTATTTTGCTTTGTTTTAGTCAAAAGTATATTTTCAGACTGCTAGTCTGGATGTGAGATATTTGAGAACTTGAATTTAAAACAAAGCTTCATAATCAGTGTGCATTTAAATCTGGAGGAAATATGCACATGTACACATTTTCTCAATACTTGCCAAAGGTTATTTTAAAGAGAAGTTAATGCTTTGGAAAGTGAAGATAAGCATTTTAATGATATTTCATAGTAAATAGTTATGCATTGAATATCACAAAAGTGTAATTAGTACAGAGACTAAAATTCCAGATGAAAGTTACTTACTTTATGAAGAGAGAGACTTTTCTGGAAAGAAGGGAAGAAGTGACTTTCATAATATTGCCATGTCATTCTTGTTGGAGAGTTATTTGAAGTGAGATTAAATCTAATACTGACTTTTAAAATGTAAATTATTTTACATATTGTTAATATATCAAAATACCTAAAGTAAATTTTGAGCAAGCTTCATCTTGTTGTAGAAGAGATTCCTGCATCAGATGGATGGTTGGACTAGATTGGCCTCTCAGGTCTCTTCTGATTCTTTCATCTAATTTTAGGTCCTCACTACCAAAAGGCCAAACTTATTTCTTCTTTTTATTTCTTTTCTAGTACTTCAAAATTCTTATACTTACAAGGAAAATAGATGAACTGGATTATTTATTATACCCTTAATATGAATAAATTAAGATCTTAATCTTAGAAACTTAATTTCAGAGAATTTACCCATTGACTCCTTAGGTCAGCATCCACCTTTCACTTTTAATAGTGACTTTTTTTTTTAAACTTTGTGCAGCCAGGTTGTTTACAGTATACTATTCAGATTCACTGGATTGTGGCAAGTTTCCTCTTTACTTTGTACTATGTAGATTTCACATTACACTTCATTTTCCAATCCTCCAGTACTAGAATCAACTTAGTTTTGTTTTGTTTTTTAAAGAAAACACAGTTCCATTCACAACATATTTCTTACAAAATCTTTATGTTGAAGGATCAGGGAAGCACCACTTCTCAAGAACACTGACCAAGTTTTAAGCTGAAATGTTTGTAATTTTACTTTCATCTTGCTTAATAAATATCTTCTGATCTCTTTCATCCATTTTTATACTTAGATTTATGCTTTTAATAAAAAGGTTATAACACTGCTTCAGTTGCCTTTAATTGTCAGAAGGTTAGGTGATCTATAGAAAGCTTGAACTAAGCCTATGGAAGAGGAGGAAGATGTTTAAATGCATTGACATGCTTATGGCATGGGTTAGCCTGAACAGATAAAGTTTTCCCACAATATTGTATTTAGTATCTCAGGAATAGGTGGATTTATATAGCAGAGGAAAATTGTCAAAATTGATAGAGCATAACTGGCAAAATTTTATACACATAACTGTAACCAATCCATTTTGAAATTATTATTCAAAATTATTATTAATTATTTTACTCTCAGGATAAAATTATCCATTTATTTAATAAATTAAGAAAAAAATCCCACTAAATTCTAGGGTGTGGGTTTTCCCCCAAAATAAGTTATTGCTTAAATGAAGCAAAGTATATATGAGTAAAATTACAATGCTGGTTGTTGTTGCTCTTTTTTGAGTGTGGGGGGGAGTTAGAAGTATGTGAATATTAACCAGTTAGAGAAATTATATGTACCAAACTTACTTATTGTTCACTTAAGTAAATTTCAATACAATCTGTGATTTTATTGTAATAGGCTATAAACAGCAGTAACTTGGAATTTTTTCACATGTGGAAAGAGGTAGAAAATGCATTCTCAGTTGGGGGAGGGATGGGGTGATATCAGTGGAGTGGAAGGGGAAAGAGGTACTTCAAATCATCTAGTTCCTTCCAATCCAATAAGCATTTTAAAAATGTCTACTATGTGCAAGGCATTGGAGATACAAAGATAAATGAGATAGTCCTTTTCCTCCAGGAGTTCCCCAGGGGTGGGGAAGGGGAGATATAACATGTAAATAGGTAAGCATATACATGGTCATTTGAAGGAAATAAGAGGGATCAGAAAAGGTTTACTGTAGGAAATGACCCATGAGCCATTTGAAATGAAAGATTCTAACAGGTGGAGATAAGAGGAGAATGGGCACTTCAGGCATGGGAATAGTCTATGCCAAGACCCAGGATCAAGAAATGGAATGGCCAATTTATGAGACAGCAAGTTGGCTGGTACATAGAGGGAAGGAGAGAGACATAAAATTCATCTTGAAAGATAGATGGGACTCAGGTTGTGGAAGTTTTAAAATACTAAGATGATTTGTATTTTTATTCTAAAGACCATAGGGAGCCACAGGATATTGTCGAGTAATTAGGTGGCTCTTAAGCTTTGCAAAGATTATTTTTGGTTTTGTGGTAAGGATGACATCATATGGGGAAAGGCACAGAACTAGAAGTCCAATTAGCATTTCCAATAGGCTTGAGAAGAACTGAAGAGGCCCTAAATTGGTGGAGAGATAACTGTGAGTGTAGAGAGGTAGTTGATCTGAGAGTTGTGAAAACAGGAGGAAAAAACTTTGCAACAATTTGGTTCTAAGTGTTTAGAGAGAGTGAAGAATCGAGGACAATGCTGAAGTGGCGAACATGGGTGGGTTGAAGAATTGTAATGTCCTCAACAAAAATAGGCAAGTTTAGAGGAAGGGTGATCTTACGGAATTAGAAGTATTATTTTAAGTGAGTTGTGTCTGAGACATCTCTGGGCCAGTTATTTGAAAACATCTAATAGAAGGCTGGTATTTAGGCCTGGATATATAGAATCATAGATTTCAATCGGAAAGAGATCTTAGAGGTCATCTATAGTGCTTCAGTACCCTCACTTTTAGAAAAAGATAAAACTGAGGCCCACATAGTTTGACTAGCTCAAGCCCACACAGGTGGTGTCAGAGGTCTGGGAATCCTCTTAAAAGAGATGCAATACTAAGAATGTAAAAAGAAATGTGAGACCAGAAGAATCTAGGGTACTTTTTGTTGTATCCTGTACATGATAATTCATATCCTGCCTATGGTCTCATGCAGAGACCCAGTGCACCCCATCTATACCTCCACCTCTTAGAATTCCTCATGTTGATTTATCCTTTCAAGGCTTAGCTCCTATATGAGGCTTTTTTTATGATCCCCTAGCCTAGTTGCTAGTGCCTCATTGTTCATTGTATTTTTATATTGATTTATTTGTGTTCCTTTTGTTCACTTTCCCTCCTTCCATGACCCCAACCCCAGAATGTAAATTCTTTGAGTACTGGGGACCACTTTCCACATACTTTTGACATCACGACTTTCCCTATTGTAGTTTAGATATATTGGGGGCCTGCATTAGAAATTAAATGGGAATTTGGGGGGTAGTTTTGTAGAAG